GACGTTCTTCCTTCATTTCTCTCGTGGGAAAAAATGGATAGCATTAGTCCGGTTGTCCGCCTCCAAACAACAACCTTCTGCAGACAAATCTAGCGACTGACAGCACCATCTCCGGTCAAAGGCGAGACCAAATCGTCTATCCATGGATTCCCGCTTTAGTTCGCTGGCGCTGTTCTTCCCCTCCTCCTGCTGCGATTCCTCTGACGCTGTTCTCCCACTCGAGCTCTACTTTGTATCCCATACCGGGGGCCTCCGCGGATTAGCCATACGAACACTTCCAGGAGCCATATTTGACGTTGGAGGTTGTCGGAGTACCTCTAAGTCCAGTTCCATGCTAAATCTCTATGACAACCGATCAGCGCACGTCGTCGGCGTTCAGAGGTTGGTCGCTAATTATCGATTTTCTAGATAGGGTCGCCGCCGCCATTCGCCACAAATTTAGAGGCATCGCCTTCCCCCGCTAGTCCGATTTCCGGCGTCACGCCGCCATCCACGGAGCCCCTTGGTTCCGTCGCCATCGATTGTAAGTCGCCCATCAATCGAGTCCGAATCACCCGAATCCTTCTCAACAAAAGATCTAGTCTTTGCCAAAAACAAAAAATTTAGTAGAACAAATCGATTAAATAAATAATTGTAAATTTGAAAAGAAATATAAATACAGACGATAAGAAAACGAAGAAGAATAGATGATGAATTGAAGAAAACAAAAAAAAAGACCATTTCTCTATAGAAATTCGAATGAAAAAAACTGATAAAAAAGAGAAGTTGAAAACGAACTAGTATTTTCATTGGAACCGTCACACTTGTTTGAAAAAAATAATGTTAAATTTGTCTTTATAAAAGACATTAATTAAAATCATGTTAAGTAGGTAAAAGTGGAATAATAAAAATACTATCTTAAAATAGTAATATTTTTTTTGAAAAAAAAAAACAGAGAGCATTTTTAATTTTATTTCCATGATTAATTTGTCCATAATTAATTTGTCATGTTGTTAATGTAAACTAGTACGTAACTCGTGCGATGCATGGGATGTAAAATTTGGAAGAATAATATAACTTCACGTGCATTAGGATCGAAATTGAAATCACTAAAATATATAGGAACATTGTTGAATCATAAAAAGTTCGGTAACAATCATATATCATTAAAAACCTCCTTGTACACAGCATTATGAGTTCGATTATTTGGTAACTCCTCATTATCACAAACTAATATTTTAGGATTGGTGAACAAACTAATATTTTAGGATTTCTAGGATTTGTCTCTTTTTGGTGAACAAACTAATATTTTAGGATTGGTTATATGAATAAAGCTACCTGTTTTTGGTGTTCTTTTCATTCATTTTCATTCAAACAATCCGATGACTTGTATAATGATATCCGAATCTTAAGCCGAAATATTTAAAAAAAGAGTTTTTAAAAATTGAAAAGTCAAGGCAATCAAAAAAGAGTTTTTGAAAATTGAAAAGTCAAGGCAATCAGTTCAGATTAATTAAAGGTCAAAGAATATCCGCTCCTTGAAATAAAGACGTGTGCTATCATTAACCAAATATCCGGTTATTGATATAGAGTGGTTACCAAATAATAGAACGCGATAAGGACGCTTCATAGAAATATCAATGGGATAAGGTCAGGTCGCTATACATTTTAACGATAAAAGCTCAGATGGAATGATTTATGATAATTATGTCGTAATTAATAATTTAATTAGATGTGTGAAAATGACATAATTACTGAGAAGTGTGAAAATGACATAATTAATGAGAAGCGTGAAAAGGACAAAAACTTACTAATTTTGGAAAATATTTAATGTAAATCCGACATTGACTATAATTTAACATACTATTTTGAATAAACTAGTGTATACCCCGTGCGATGCACGGAAATAATATTAAATTAATAATATTATAAATAGACCTCGAGTTGAGTCACTCAATGACGGAAGTGGAAACTACTATTGTTCCTATTTAAAAAGAGGAAGCAAAAAAAATAATTATAAATGAAAGAGGAGGATAAACAATACTTAATAATTATAAATTAAAGATTCGGGGTCAAACAATGTAAAATTATTTTGTATAAGAGAATATAAAAAAATTTGATTGCACACCATTTCAAAATTATTATTATACCTTTTTGTATGGTTAGCTTATAATATTTGTAAAAATATTAGTAATTAGACTGATTAGCTTATAATATTTGTAAAAATATTAGTAATTAGACCGATGAAAATTAGCTTCTTAAAGTAGATAATGGATTTCCAGTAGTAATTATGAATTAGTTTCTATTTTATTTTATTTTTTCTTTTTAAAAATAATGGATTTCTAGTAGTAATTATGAATTGGTTTCTATTTTATTTTATTTTTTAAAATCTGTATAGATAAGGGATGAGATTTTTTAAACACGTGAGATCGTATGCAATGAGATTTTGTAACAGAAGAGATAAGCGTGTAGATTTATACTAAAAATAGAAAAAGGAAAAACAAATATTTATTGTCAAACAACGGTTTTGATAAACTAAAAAAAATGAGCCGATTTTTTTGCCTATTCAGATTTGTCCAACAATTACTATATTAGGATATATTTAATGATTTTGGCGGGAAAAAGTTTCTAAATTTTTAAAAAGATTATTCTTTTTATATAATGATAGATGTTAATTCTTATTATATAAGTATAGATATTAATTTAAAACAGAAAACAATTTCCTTTTACCACCAATAATTAGCTGGATCGTTACTTGGGCTTGACTCATAAAAAATTGTCGAAAACCTAATTACGCACTCACAGCTGATAGGAAGAGGAGAGAGCTAGAGAGAGTGAATCCGGCGACAAGATAATGAAGACAGTCGCTATGGACTACTTCGGGGAGGCAGAGGAGCAAAGCGACGGCGTCACAGTGGCCATGGAGGTGGACGACGCCGACTCCTCCTTGGATCTGTTCGGAGAGGGCCCCGTCTTGGACCTCCACCGCCTTGCCGATGCCGATTTCTTCAATTCCTTCCAGGATGATTTCGATGATGAAGACATCAACTGATGCGTAATTTGATTTTCTATCCCTAGCTCAATTAATCGTTTCTCGGAAAATATGTTGCAATCACTGGATAAAATATGATGATGGGTTGGTGTTGATTTTTCGATATATATGAATGCTTTCTGTGATTAACTTGTTCTTCAGCACGTTCTTTCTTCTCTAATCTGATTCTTGTAGTTGATAAGCTGTGAATTTTGTTGGTGATTTCAAATTTTGAATTGATTGATTGCTTCCAATGCGGTGGAGTTTTTTGGGATTGGTTTTTGTGGTATAAATTGGGAATCAGATAGAACCCTAATTGAGCAGTTCATTTGCATTCAAACTTCCAAATGATCCTATTAATATTGCTGGTGTTTTTCTAAATTGTTGAAAAAACAAAATAAAAGGTGGGATTTTGTTGATTATGAGAAATGTATCACACCCCACATTCCTTTTCTGATTTTTGACACACCTAATCAATAGTAGTGGGATGGCTGATTTCGTTGTACAAATATAAAAGTATGAAATAACTTGGAGAAGAATGTTGTTAGATACCAATGGTTTGAGTGTGTGTAACTGTGTATAGTGGATGCTCATTCATAGAAGAGATGTTCTGAAAAATGGAATGGTTCTCAAATAACACCAGAACTTTTGTTTGTGTGAAGTTTGATAGAGCAGACGGTCTTGCGCTTGCTGTAAATCTTGTTATGTTTGTAGTTTTATATCTTAATCTTTTTTCTGGGTACTCTATCACTGTTGTTGAGTGTATATATTTAGATATGCCCAACCAGTTGTTGTAGTTGGGTCAATAAGTCCGAAGCCCACCATTTCAGTTAGGCAATTTTGTCCCAGAAAATTGAGAAATGTGTATCAATCTCATGATTTGGCCGTCGGAAAAATCAGTAAAACTGTCCAATAATTGGAATTGTGTAAATCCAATGCGCCTGCTATGCTAACTTGGTCTGTGTAAAACCATGAACCATTGAACCGGAATCGTGTAAAACCAATGGTAGAAATGGTTTTCGTATGGTAAAATTAAAATCTTAACGACAATGGTGTAAAACCAATTGTTGAAACGGATTTATAGGATAAAATTTAAATAATAGAATGGAAAAGTCGATCTAAAACTGAGTTTCCTAAGGTGAAAATTAAAATCTTAAAAAAAATGGAAAAGTCTATCCAAGTATGTATTTATTTATCAATTAGTTTAAATATTTGAATGTTTTAAATTGTTTAACTATTTAATTAATCATGTTTTCTATATTAAAATAATTTCGTAAAGTATTATATATAATAAAAATATTAATAAATTAAATACCGCTTCAACCGATTCAACAATTGGTCCGATCAGTGAACCAGTAACTTAACTGGTTTGATGACCATTTTGGTTTTGAAAACATGGCATACAGACACCTTGTCATTTCAAATGAAATTGAATTTGTTATCTAGACTGTTGGCTAGAATTCATTTCCAGTGTAGTAGTAGGAGAGTATTTGCTGTAAGCGCGTGGTTTTGTGAAATCTTTGATGATATTTCATCATTTGAAAGGTTTAGTATGATTTCTCCAATTGTGAAGTTTGTTTCTCTATGGGTGCGTTTGTTCTAGTATAGGCTCTAGGTGATCCTCTGGATCTGTACTCCCACTAGATTTAGCTTTTGAGCTGTTTTCTAGATGTATCTATGTGTTTTTATGATATAAAATTTCTATCGTTTGAAAAAAAAAATATTTGACTAAGTAGACCACTATATATCACAATGTATATCGCAATTTGATTTTGTGGTAGGTTGAGCCAAAATGCTAAGAAAAAAAATATTTCGTTCTTGTTTTAGTAATTTTTACCGGAGTAGAACCGAAAGATTCGAACACCGGGTCGTGTCTCAAGAAAGGTTGGCCGGATTAATTTGCACGATTATTCAATCACACGAAAAGATAAAACAAGTCCTAAACACTCTAATTCAATTGATTGGTTGCGATTATCAACTACTAGATTAACCACTACTGATTCTCAAACAAGACAATGGGATGGAAAAAATATGTCCCACAGGTGTTTGCAAATCATCATAGACTAGAAGTCCACGTGTGATGTGTGTGTGTGTGTATAGATTCCTGAGCAATATAAACTCACATGTACTGAATTCGTCGTGGAGTCTGTTAATGGATCAAAAATTTCAGAACATCTAATCCTTAAATGTGTTTCAAACCAATGATATCAGAACCATATTAACAACGGAATTTGTTTATACCTAAGGTCAACAAGGTATATATGTTAATGCTAGGAGCTATAAATATAAGCTAAACAAAAAAGAAAGAAAATGATAACAAAAACTATACAGCTCATTATTAGCAGACGAAGTCACGAAATAGAAGTGCAAAACGTGCAATCGCCACCCTATATATCGTGTCGACCTCATTTTCTTTGGCCTATGCAATAATTTGAAAACCAAAAATAAAACTCCGGGTCAAGGATTACCATTAAACTATCCATAAAGTTGATCCTTAACCAGTCGTCACATTATTTCCACATATGTTACCTCATCAAACACTATATGTAAAAAGGAATTGAGGTGACCTCAAAGGATACGGACCCTAGGTTTGCAAATGGAAGAGAGAAGGGAAAAATCCATAACTGAATTAACTACAATAAAAAGCAAACTAAACACATCACACCAACATTAGTGATAGAAAACAGACACTTAATTAGAAGCAACAACAACCTTTACTCATAAGGACAATGCCGGTGGTCCAAGCATACCGCCGAATAGCTTGATTAAGTCTTACTCAGTGCTCCATCCCTCCCAAAGGGTCCAACAATTCCAAGCTCACGCATTGCCTTAAAAAACGACTCATAGTGTTTCTTGTCAACGCTGCAACTCCATTTGGCACTAACTTCGAGTGTGGGGACACCATCAAAAACAATGAGCTTGGTTTGCTCCCCCGTTTTCTTTGCTGGAAAGAAAGTCTTGCCACGACAAATACACCTGCCGCCATCTGCTTCGTAGAGCACGGCCCCAATGACGAGGGAGGAATAACACGGTACAGCAACCATCGACCTTGTAAGCTTAATGCTTCCATCAATTCCCACTCGACCCTCGTCACCTCTCTGAATCACCACTGTCTTCTTTTCCTCATCCGCTCGTTTAACCGTGAGCAAACGAATCCTTGAGTAGAATATGCAAGGACGGGCAACGATGAAACCGGAAAACCTGCTCATGCCTTCAAGCAACATCTTTACACTGACAGTAGCCCACGCTCCGTCATACATGCTGTAATACGCGTCCATTAGCACAGGATCGCATTCTGGATCACCAACCAGTGATCTCCTGATGATGGGCCCGCCGTACTTGCGAAGGGCCTTACTATTGTGGGGTCTCACAACCAAAGCATCCGATCTGCAAATACCTTCGCCTGGGAACAGGTTGTTGCTGTTGTCGATTTGGCCGTGAACAAATATATCCTCGTCATCAATCTTCAAAGCAAATGCCAGATAAATAACCTGGTCTTCGTATAAAGGGGGTCTGGGTTCGGGACTGGTTAGGGGAAGAAGAACTACTTCTTTGGGGTTAAGATTGATGGTATGAGCTTGTAAATGACTCACTCTGTAATAACAAATTGGGTCAGGATTTTCAAGCTCAAACTCCTGTGGCCATGTTGCAATCTCGCCATAAATTCTGCTATTAATCAAGGGAGCGCTACGGATTTTTTCATTCAATTTGAGCCTAACCTTGAACAATTCAAAAATGCGTAACCCCTTAAACGACGCCGCATGCTTGTGATTGTGACAGAGTCCTACCTTGTCGCAGTTTCTATCATCGCCGTCTGTAGACTGAACGCCATCGATCATCGGAGCTGCCCTGTCCCAGAAATCTTCTTCGACAATCCAACCTGGGAACGCAAACTCGTCGTCTGAGTCGCTGTCTGAATCGCCTTCATAGAATAGCACATCATCGTCGTCGTCGCCGTCTTCTTTCTTATGTATCTTCTTTTTGTCGGATTCGATTTCTTCTTTCTCTGCTCGCTTATTCCTATCGTTCACTTCCATCACAGGCTTCGCAGTTAGGGTTCTTGAGCATGTGCGAATTGGGGGTCTCACGTTTTTATTTCTGAACCGGGTTCAGATTTCCCTTGTCTTGTTCGTTCAAATATACTAGTGTGTACGGTTCTTGAGCATGTGCGAATTGGGGGTCTCACGTTTTTATTTCTGAACCGGGTTCAGATTTCCCTTGTCTTGTTCGTTCAAATATACTAGTGTGTACCTCGTGCGATGCACGGGAACAATATTAAATTAACAATATTATAAAAGACCTTGAGTTTGAGTCACTCAATGGCGGAAGTGGAAACTACTATTGATTCTATTTAAAATGAGGAAGAAAAAATAATAATTATAAATTAAAGAGGAGGATAAACAATACATAATAATTATAAATTAAAGATTCGGGGTCAAACAATGTAAAATTATTATGATAAGAGAATATAAAAAAATTTGATTATACATCATTTCAAAATTATTGTTATACTTTTTCGTATGATTAGCTTATAATATTTGTAAAAATATTAGTAATTAGACCGATGAAAAGTAGATAATGAATTTCTAGTAGTAATTATGAATTAGTTTCTATTTTATTTTATTTTTTCTTTTTAAAGATAATGGATTTCTAGTAGTAATTATGAATTGGTTTCTATTTTATTTTATTTTTTCAAATCTGTATAGATAAGGGATGAGATTTTTTAAACACGTGAGACGTATTCAATGAGATTTTGTAACAGAAGAGATAAGCTCGTGTAGATTTATACTAAAAATAGAAAAAAGAAAAACAAATATTTATTGTCAAACAACGGTTTTGATAAACTAAAGAATAGGAAAAAGAGAAACAAATCTTTACACAATTATTGAGCCAATTTATTTGTCTATTCAGATTTATCCAACAATTACTATATATAGGATATATTTAATGATTTTGGCGGGAAAATGTTTCTAAATTTGTAAAAAGGTTATTCTTTTTATATAATAATAGATATCTCTCGCAAAGACACCCCCTTACCCTACCCAACCACATCGCTTTATCTCAACCGTCCTACCTTCCTTTAATATCCTCGGATTTGATTGAAACCCCTCTCTAGTTACTACAAAAAATCGAATTCAAAAAATAAATTGATTAAAATTTATTCTAACTCATGAAAAGATAAATAAAATAATACTATCAAACTCATTAATTTTTTATAATCGAATGGTCAGAATAGTCTGTTGAAGTTTCCAACTCGCCGTATTGTATTAATAAATCTCGGAAATTTCATCGACATATTGTGGAGGATTTGAATTTCAGACTTACAATAGGAAGATCTCATTAGGCTTTTCAAGAAAATACATCTATGTGAGGATTTTAACGAACCAAACATTCGCGAAAAACATCGTTCGAGCTCGTTTGTGTATTAATCGAGACGAGTTCGAAAAGAAAATTAGACTCGTTTCATAGTCGAACAAACAAGAGCCCGTTAAAGAAAATTAGACTTGTATGTGTGGTATTTTTAATAAGAAAATCTAAACATGAAAATTAAATATTTTGTATCTATTTTATTTTTTGTTTCAAGCTCGAAGAAATCTTGAGTTAACCAAACTGATATAGGATACCATGCCTGAGGGAGTAAACCGGTTGACTAGGCCAACCGAACCGCCCGATCGATCAGAACAGAGCAGAACATGTGGTGGTCGAGCGTCACCGACACAGGATTAAGAATTTTTTACCAAGAAGATAGCATAAGCGGTTCAGGATGATAACAACAGGTCGAGCTAGGGCCCTCGGATGACCTGATAGAAACTCGAGCTGTAGAATGGCTAGTCATAGGATCGACCAGAGGAAGTTACATTCAACTAGTTTTAGAGTTGTAATTTGCTATAATAATTTTAATTTTTGTGTCAATTTTGTCCCATCTTCGTCTCGAAACTCTGTCTATATATCCAATAATTATCTTTTGTTCATACGATTCTCTGTGTTTGTCCCATTTTTGTTACGTTTTTCTTTCTTATTTTTCATTTCTTTCTCCCCCGGCTTAGGTCTTTTCGTTAGTTTTTATTCGCTTTTATAGTTTATTGCGCGTCTTATTTCATCTTATTTTTCGTGTTTCTTTTTGGTTTTGGGTTTTTCTTGTTTTCGGTGTTTCTTTTTCTTATTTTATTTTCTTTTCTTTACCATTGGTGCTCGTAACCCGTTGTTTGTTTGAGTGTATGCGTACCAGGAGTGGACGTAAACTCTCTCCAATTAACAAACCCTTCAACGAGAGCCTGAGAGAACTGCTAGACGAGCTTACTCTCGAATCACACGAAGAAGGCGAGCATCGACCAGAATCATCCGAGGGGAGTAACTCTGACATAGAAGAGATGCTCATTCATAGAAGAGATGTTCTGAAAAATGGAATGGTTCTCAAATAACACCAGAACTTTTGTTTGTGTGAAGTTTGATAGAGCAGACGGTCTTGCGCTTGCTCTAAATCTTGTTATGTTTGTAGTTTTATATCTTAATCTTTTTTCTGGGTACTCTATCACTGTTGTTGAGTGTATATATTTAGATATGCCTAACCAGTTGTTGTAGTTGGGTCAATAAGTCCGACGCCCACCATTTCAGTTAGACAATTTTGTCCCAGAAAATTGAGAAATGTGTATCAATCTCATGATTTGGCCGTCGGAAAAATCAGTAAAACTGTCCAATAATTGGAATTGTGTAAATCCAATGCGCCTGCTAACTTGGTCTGTGTAAAACCATGAACCATTGAACCGAAATCGTGTAAAACCAATGGTAGAAATGGTTTTCGTATGGTAAAATTAAAATCTTAACGACAATGGTGTAAAACCAATTGTTGAAACGGATTTATAGGATAAAATTTAAATAATAAAATGGAAAAGTCGATCTAAAACTGAGTTTTCTAAGGTGAAAATTAAAATCTTAAAAAAAATGGAAAAGTCTATCCAAGTATGTATTTATTTATCAATTAGTTTAAATATTTGAATGTTTTAAATTGTTTAACTATTTAATTAATCATGTTTTCTATATTAAAATAATTTCATAAAGTATTATATATAATAAAAATATTAATAAATTAAATACCGCTTCAACCGATTCAACAACTGGTCCGATCAGTGAACCAGTAACTTGACTGGTTTGATGACCATTTCGGTTTTGAAAACATGGCATACAGACACCTTGTCATTTCAAATGAAATTGAATTTGTTATCTAGACTGTTGGCTAGAATTCATTTCCAGTGTAGTAGTAGGAGGTATTTGCTGTAAGCGCGTGGTTTTGTGAAATCTTTGATGATATTTCATCATTTGAAAGGTTTAGTATGATTTCTCCAGTTGTGGAGTTTGTTTTTCTCTATGGGGGCGTTTGTTCTAGTATAGGCTCTAGGTGATCCTCTGGATCTGTACTCCCACTAGATTTAGCTTTTGAGCTGTTTTCTAGATGTATCTATGTGTTTTTATGATATAAAATTTCTATCGTTTGAAAAAAAAATATTTGACTAAGTAGACCACTATATATCACAATGTATATCGCAATTTGATTTTGTGGTAGGTTGAGCCAAAATGCTAAGAAAAAAAATATTAGTTTTTGTTGTAGTAATTTTTACCGGAGTAGAATCGAAAGATTTGAACACCGGGTCGTGTCTCAAGGAAGGTTGGCCGGATTAATTTGCACGATTATTCAATCACACGACAAGATAAAACATGTCCTAAACACTCTAATTCAATTGATTGGTTTCGATTATCAGCTACTAGATTAACCACTACTGATTCTCAAACAAGACAATTTCGATCACACAACTTCAAACAAGATTCAAATAATTGTAAAAAGGACTAGGGCGTTGGGGACAATCATTTGCGGTTCTCAATACATTTAACGGGCAATCAACTACTCGGTTAAAGGGCTCGAAAAATCAATTCATCTAGAGATTCATTCTCAATAACTCACGAAACAAGAGAATAAACATAAACGAACAATCATCGAATCAATTAGCACATAGACAATACGTCTCCGAACAAGTCTACTCTAAACGAGCCTAAGTCGATCAATTCCTCCCCTTTCAGTTCTAAGAATTGATTTAGTGGATTAAAATGGTGATTAGTCATTCAACCTTAGGATTAACACAACTTATTCAATCACACGATAAGATAAAACATGTCCTAAACACTCTAATTCAATTGATTGGTTTCGATTATCAGCTACTAGATTAACCACTACTGATTCTCAAACAAGCCAATTTCGATCACACAACTTCAAACAAGATTCAAATAATTGTAAAAAGGACTAGGGCGTTGGGGACAATCATTTGCGGTTCTCAATACATTTAACGGGCAATCAACTACTCGGTTAAAGGGCTCGAAAAATCAATTCATCTAGAGATTCATTCTCAATAACTCACGAAACAAGAGAATAAACATAAACGAACAATCATCGAATCAATTAGCACATAGACAATACGTCTCCGAACAAGTCTACTCTGAACGAGCCTAAGTCGATCAATTCCTCCCCTTTCAGTTCTAAGAATCGATTTAGTGGATTAAAATGGTGATTAGTCATTCAACCCTAGGATTAACACAACTCGAATAGATTGAGTAATCAACATTCATACAAACGAAATTGAACTGGAACAATTATCCCCTAACCCTAGTTGACGAATTTAGCTACTCATCATCAATTCAACATCAACAGACACATCAATCTAAGCCATTATAATCATAAATAAAACGAAAAAAGAAAGCTTACGATTAAATACGAATCCAATGTCGAAAATCCACGAATAATCCAATTCAAAGTCTAATCTTGGAGTTTTCACTATCCAAGATTGAAATCTAAGCAAAACCAAGTGAAAATATGTTTTTGGGAGTGAAAGGTACGAAATACCAAGTCTAGAATGTTTAACATATGCCCTAGGTTCGAAATATATTCTCTCTCCCCTTCAAAATCCATAAAAACCGTGTCTGTATAAAAACAGACCTTAGAGGCGCTAAGGTGCCTTAGCGGCGTCTTAGCCGTTCGGGTCAGAAGCTGCTAGCGCCGCTATCCTGGGTGCCTTAGCGGCGCTAAGGCTCTGGCAGCCTGCTGGACTTTGCTCCTCGGGTCCGTTTGGATTTGTTTCAACTCAGAATTCGATTCTGCTTTTTCCTGTGTGTTCCCAACGAACTCCTCTATTTAATTAAGCAATTCATGCAACACTATATGTTTCTTAATGAAATTTTCATCATAAAAGAAAGAAGGATTGAGAAAATAAGCTGCAACATGGATATTGCGATGCAAGTGTTAATACCATCGAGCCTTAATAATTTCAATGTAAGGCTTGTACGCACTTTTTCTTTTTCTGAACATCCTTTTGATACCATTCTTTGCCCTTTGCATATCTTCACACATATCCCAAAGATGGTTTTTCGTCCGCATCAACAATTCACAATAGTCTAATAAGAAGGCTTGCAAGTTTAACAATTTGGCACTCTTGCCCAAATTTAGCATCCAATATGGTTTCACAAACACTTTTAGCTAATCTATGTCGGGTAAAGTATTTATTTACCCCAAAGCTTGCAAGTCCTCTTTATGATTACAAATGCTTTTCAAAGTAACAAGACTATAGCAAATCAAGTAACTCATGGACGAACTATCTCCTTCCAACCAGACCTTTTTCTAAGCCAAAACAGAAATATCATATGATTATAGACAAAGACAGTAATATTTGAAGTACGACAAGCAAGGTGGCTTATATGAGATAATGAAGAGATGTCTTTCAAGACCAGATTCAAACAATGTGATGCATATGGGGACAAAAAATTATTTTCATACTTACTATGAATCAACTTTCTCACTGCTACATAATTTGTTGCATTATCAGTCACTACATGCACAATATTTGCATGTCCAATCCATTCAATGACATCAACAAACAAATTGAATAGATTATTCGCATCTTTCACCATGTCTGAACCATCAAGTGATTTAATAAATGTCATACTTGCGCGATAATATACAAGAAAGTTGATCAAATTTCTTTGCCTTTGATCTCTCCAGCGATCTGCTATAAGTGTGCATCCAGAGTTCTTCCAATTGCTTCCGTAACTTTCAACAAGAAGCTTACCACTCTTTTTTGCAATCACCCAACATGTTCACCCTGACTTTATCATATGAAGGACCTTTAAATCCAGGTCCAATGGCATCAATTGCATCTTAAGCTGGCTGAAAACAACAAGACCGAATAGCATTAAATGGAACGCAAGAGTTGTAGAACAATTGAGTAAGAGTGTTTTAGCAATTTTCACCGCCGCTTTGCTCGTGAAAACACTTTTAAGGCCTTTATGAGATTCTAGAGTTGTCCTCGGCTCAAAATATCTATCGACGGGACCATCAACGATTTGTCTATTCTATTTAACAGTAGCCGGAGTAGACTCGAGACTTCTCGCCTTCTTCATGCATATTTGTCGTGCTCCCTTCCTCATAATCATCTGCATATTTGTCATGCTCCCTTCCTCATAATCATCATCATAATTAATAGGATCATGTTTTTTGTTTTTTCCTACTTCATCCAAGTGTGATTCCATCCGAGATTTTAACATCATGCGACATTTTGTTACACGCAACTATTTCTCCCTTTCTTCCCAGCTAAATGATATTTTATTCGATGAATTCCCTCACCTTTAAATTTTTTCAGACAAAACAGATAAGTGTATATGACCTTTCCATTCTCACAAATTAAACTAACATATTCCCAAGCAGGATCAGATTTCCCACAGCTAGATTGTGTTGATAGCTTTTCATTATTTGCATCCTCCACACCTGTAGTCGGACGAAAGTTATGAGCCTGTGATAGAGAGCTGGTCGGACAACCACGAGAGCTTCACGAGATGACAAAAACAGAGAGGAACAACGTGCACTAGTCCGACGAGCGAACAATAAACAAGGGCTGAGAGTAACACGGGTAGACTGTAGAGAACAAGAGCAACGAAATGCAGATAGTGCCAAGAGGTGAGAAAAAACGACTGCCGAGAGGAACACGAGCAGAGGTTCACGCTGCACAATTAATTAGAGCTCACTTGTCACAGCCAGAGATGCGACCAACTAGTTGTTGGAGATATGGCTCACGACTGGAAAAAATCTGGTCGGAGTTGAAGATATGGTTCACGACTGGAAAAAATCTGGTCGAAGTCGGAGAGGTGGTTCACGGCCAAAGGAAATATGGTCGGAGTCAGCGACGTGTTCACGAACAGAAAGATTTTCTCCCCATCAAATTTTGTTCATTTTTTTCAACGCCACGTCACTAAAGTGACATCTTTTACATTGAAACCATCAAATATCACTCATGACGAGTCACAATACAAAAGTGATATCTTTTACATTCAAACCATCAAATATCACTCTAACGAGGAGCCCCACGACAGGCTCTGGTTCAATATCATTCTTGTACGTGTTTGAAAAGTTTTTTTCTCCGATTATTAAGTTGTTTGCATGGTAACAAAATCTAATAATATAAACCTATAATAAACTATTGTAAATTAAATGTAAACTTAAAGAAGAAAAAGCGTAAATTTAAAAAAAACAATCATATTCATATAAAAAAATCACAGTAAAATTTTAAAATTTAATCAAGAGGCCACTGAAAAAATGGGTTTCATTTCAATGTTCGTAAGCAAATCAGCTACTCGAGCATTCAAATGAAGTTTCCATTGTGTACTGAAAAATAAAGACGAAAAAATCCCTAGGTACAATTTGTCCCTTTCATTTTCCAGTGAATGATTATGCTAGTTTCTAGAGCATTTACATAACCGATATCTATCACACATCAAATGTAAATTACAATTGAACAGTGCTAGTTTTTCATAACCACACCAAATTTCAAGTATTGTTTTTTTTTTCTATTTTACGTTTACCGCAATATACTAAAACTACTTTGAAGCAAATTTAATACCAGAATATTACAAAGAAATAGCTATTTATTCATTAAAAAAAAAAACTCTCAGAGAGATCCAATTTTCAACTGCATGTATCTCATAAAGATATGACCCTTTGAACTGGAATTAAAAACCATGAAGGAGACCACAAGTTGGTGACTAATTGCTGCTGAAAGTTTTGAGGAACCAACCGTGATCGGGCTCCGTAGTTTTGTAGTGCACCGCATTTGCTGGCCATTCATCAACCTTCTAATGCATATGTTGGAACCTTCAGAAGATAAACCAAAGTCCATTTCAAACAAATAAATATAATATACAGTAGTAGTTAATATCATGGGTTGAGAAGCTAATTCAACAGTGCCATGAATAAATGAGTTAAATTTGCAGTATTGACCTGTCAGAAATATCACTACATACAATATGTGAATGGAATAGAAAATATTCTAGGGCAAATAGGCTCAAAATAGTGGAATTCGTTAAGCATAAATGCTAAATAGAACAAGATCTTAATCAATGGGAAAAGATATTTAAGCAGCTAACTGGACATTCCTTCACAAGTGGGATTTTTATTGCACCATAAAAATAAAATATAATTAGCTGATTTATGTGGACGAAATAGAATGTACTCTAGTGAAAATAAGCTCAAGAATAGAGGAATTCTTTAGGCGTAATGTCTAAATATAACAAGATCTTAATCAACGGAACAGATATTTAATGTAGATATGCTGGTTGTTGAATGAATTAGAGGTAAGTATTGAAAATTAGTACATATAAGTGTTCCTATACCTCCAACATGTTATCATCTGGAACAAAGGATCCTTCATTATTAAAGACATGAGATACATCACATTGAAGAGTTCTCAGCTTTCCTTCCTGCCATTAGAAGAAAAACATTTTTAGGGAATATACTGACAAAGATTAAAATGGAAATACAAAGCTTTCCATTTTTATTACCTTGGTTCCATATACAAGACCACCTCCAACCAAAGGATGGAAACAAGCAACATTAACCTCATCTTCTGCACTTGGAAGTACTCTCACAAGTTCCATATCAGAAACTCTATAGATCTGTAAGATAAATAAATCATACAAAGGCCTGAGCAATGTGAACAAAACAAAAATTGCATTGAACTAGTGTTTGCCCTACTCTTCACAAATCTTGATGCAAGCACAAACTTTCTGGCTTAAATCAATGTTTATACAAGGAGTTACCTGACAATATAGTGGTGGTACGGCATGACTTGAAACCTCAATTTGGATCGCAAACTAATAAGTAATCGACAGAATCAATCGTGGAATTCTTGTTCTAACTCCTAAAAATTAACTTGAAAAGTTGTGACTGACGAATGTCCAGGTTACACACTCACATACAATAAGTTACTAGCCTCACGTAATCAAATTCTAGATCTAGCATCAAGAAAAGAAATTTTGTATCATGATCCATGGAGCCATGGTCCAGGAGTTCCATATCATGCAATTACGTGTTGCCAACTATGAAACTAATTATATGAAGAGGATTCTTGATGTCAAATGATTTCTCAGTTGCAGTTATACAAACAAGACTCGGAGGAGCAGCATCTCAGTTCTCACCAAGTTATGTTGGATTGCTATATAATTATTACGAAGACCTTGTACATGGTCTACAATTAGGCATGGGTTTGCACTCAAAATTTATAGATTATGCAAATAACAAACAAGCAAGTATCCAGTTGGTTATGTGAAAGCTTAGATTGATCTTGAGAACATCAAAACAGCATACTGCAATGGCATCTCACCTCCAGAATCGTGTATATGGGTACAGTTGTATCTCCATCAATCACGACGCTTTTAAGAAGCGAGTTATGCCGACGACCATAAGCAAGCAACAAATGCTCAGAGGTAGGTGAAAACTGCCATACCAAAAGGACATCAGCTAGATAGCCATATTGGACAATTTCTACTAAAATACTACCACATAGCAATTTCAAAATCTGAACTATACCAGAAGCAAAAGGCCGGAGTATAAGAAAAAATGCATTACCATAAGATAGGTAACCTAACCATTATACTGGAATAATCAACATACCCAAAATATGATTGAAGTGTGTCGTTTTCTACACTACAGATATCAATTAATAATCATATCTCAGACTCAATTAGATCTTTTTAGATGCACTTATCAACAAAAGTAAAACAGATGCTCAATCACAAGAACGAGTAGTGCTTATATTAAGATTAGAAATTCCTTACAGCTATTCAGTACTTATATCGTACTGGGAAATGTATATAATGTCTTCTAAGAATGCCATGTATATGTTTTACTAAATCAATCATAGAGATGTAAGAGTAGGTGATCAATCTCCAATGCCATAGTTTCTTCTTCTTACTGTTGGTTTTTTTTTTTTTCCTTTATAATAAATATAATACTTGTCAGGAAGCTTATACAGAATGACCAAACACACAAGTTAATTCTAAGTCCAGCCCAACAATAAATATGCCTCAAATTCGTGGATACAACAGACCTTTATTGAGGTCAAACAATGAGCAGCTCTGATAGCCCGAGATGCAAGAATCAGGCCAAATCTACATGAAAAGAAATACCATAAACGAAGGGAAAACATAGGAGATATGAATAGGAAAACTGCAGGCAATGACAAAGGAATACAATACTTACGTGGCCTCCTCTAGTGAATATATCCTTAGCTCATACACAACGTGATGAGTTGAAATTGGGTGCCTCGTCGGAGATGTTGATGCCCCAGTAAAATTGTGATGGATGTGATTTTGAAACCCTTGATCGACGTCTGAGTTTGGAAGGATACATGCAACACAGACAGCTAAAAATCTCCCAAAAATCTACAATTATTATTATTATTATTTTCAATGATAATTTGTTGTTGAGTAAATAATAGTATGAGAAAAAAAAAATATTGGATATATGAACAGAGTTTCGAGATGAAGATGGGACGGAATTGACACAAAAATTATTACAACTCTAAAACTAGTTGAAAAATAATTAAAAGGAAAGATTAGTTGATTAAAACTAATTTTGTTTGTTTAAATCGGAGATTGTTTATCAAAATTCGTCACAAACCAAATAAATCCGGAGCAATAAGATGTAGATAAAATCCAGCCCAGCCCCATTATTTCCCCTTTCAGCCCAATTATATCACCTAGGGTTTTTCTTTGTTGGTAGTGACATTTGCATACGTACGGGTGACGTACGACCCCTTTTCCGGCACTGCGGGTCGGAGCTGCTCCAGGTGTCATGGTGAAAAACAAGAACAATTTACGGCTACCGAGACCCGGTCCTTCGAGCAGTACTGAACCAAGAATCGGCTTCAAGCTGAACATGATGACATCACTCTCGACTTGGATGGTGGAGTCGAGGAGTACATGGTGATGATCCAAAGTATTGCTGCAACACACGGAGTTTTTTAGATGTATATTCAAAAGCTTCTGAGCCACGAAACTTCTGCAAATCCTCTCATCCTCTGGTTCAGAGAAAATTTTCGATATCTATCTTCGAGCGGGGGAAAGACAATCGGGTGTCATTTCCTGCATTCAAGCTTCTATTTCTTTGCGTTCAACGTGAACGGTGGGGTTTGGCACATGTTGCACGACGACCTCGTGTGTCCCACCAATTTGAGTGAACCAAATATGTAGTATCTCCCGAAGAAATTAAAAGTTTCTTATGCCTCATTAGAGAGGGCAAAACGAAGACACAATCTTCTTCTATTGGGGAAACACAAATTGGTGAGTGCGATAATGAATCTGGGCCACTACGAGGATCGCAAAATTGGAATTGATAACTTGAGTTGGTCGTGTCTCACCATATGTCAGATGATCCCGAAGGTCGTAAGGTTTCCCCCGATACTCAATAGGATCTGCTCTGGGTTTGACGGGCCGCGCCTTGCCTTGAATCGAAGGTTGGTGAAGTTCCAGACTAATTATGTCTAAATGTGCAAGAATCTGGCGGGTCATTCGATCATTGAGAGGTTACAGCATGATCACATGCCCCTAGTAGTTTTCGACTCGGTAGTAATAATGAAAGAGGTGGCCGTGTTTTCCCCATCATTTATCAGCATCATCTCGGCCACCTCTTTCATTATTGCTACCGAGTTAAAAACTACTAGGGACATGTGATCATACTGTAACCTCTCAATGATCGAATGACCCGCCAGATTCTTGCACATTTTGACATAATTAGTCTGGAACTTCACCAACATTCGATTCAATGCAAGGCCCGGCCCGTCAAACCCAAAGCAGATCCTATTGAGTATCGGGGGAAACCTTACGGCCTCCGCGATCATCTGACATATGGTGAGACACGACCAACTCAAGTTATCACTTCCAATTTTCCGATCCTCGTAGTGGCTCAGATTCATTATCGCACTCACCCAATTTGTGTTTCCCCAATAGAAGATTGTGTCTTCGTTTTGCCGTCTCTAATGAGACATAAGAAACTTTTAATTTCTCCGGGAGATACTGCATATTTAGTTCACTCAAATTGGTGGGAAACACAAGATCGTCGTCGTGCCACGCGTGCAACATGTGCCAAACCCCACCGTTCACGTCGAACGCAAAGAATAGAAGCTTGAATATATGAAACGACACCCGACTGTCTTTCTCCCCGCTCGAAAATAGATATCGAAAATTTTCTCTGAACCGGAGGATGAGGATTTGCAGAAGTTTCGGGGCTCGGGAGCTTTTGAATATACACCTAAAATGTGTTGCAGCAATACTCTGGATCATCACCCTGTACTCCTCGACTCCTCCACCATCCAAGTCGAGAGTGATGTCATCCTATTCAATAGGGTTCAGCTTGAAGCCGATTCTTGGTCCAATCGAAGAAGGACCTGGTGTGCTCGAAGGACCGATTCTCGGTACCCGTAAATTGTTCTTGTTTTTCACCATGACACCTGGAGCAGCTCCGACCCGCAGTGCCGGAGAAGGGGTCGTACGTCACCCGTACGTATGCAAATGTCACTACCAACAAAGAAAAACCCTAGGTGATATAATTGGGCTGGGCTGAAAGTGGGAAATAATGGGACTGGACTGGATTTTATCTACATCTTATTGCTTCGAATTTATTTGGTTTGTGACAAATTTTGATAAACAATATCCGATTTAAACAAACAGAATTAGTTTTAATCCACTAATCTTTCTTTTTTAATTATTTTCCAACTAGTTTTAAAGTTGTAATTTGTTGTAATAATTTTAATTTTTGTGTCAATTCCGTCCCATCTTCATCTCGAAACTCTGTCCACATACCCAATAATTTTTTTTTCTCATACCATTATTTGCTCAACAACAAATTATCATTCAAAATAATAATAATAATAATAATAATAATAATAATAATAATAATAATAATAATAATAATAATAGTTTGAACACCCATTTGGCCCCATCCTAGCAAAGATTTCGCAGTCGATTTTTTCATACCTTATATTTCAAATAGCATTATATCATAATATTTTAAAAGTTATATCATATAAATGATCGGACATCTAGTTTACTAGAAATCTAGCATTAGAGTTTCAGCTTAGCGACAACGCAGATTCTCTATAATCAGCTTCGAGTACCCATTGATAGTGACCTACCAAATAACTTCGATTTTAGATAACCAGATTTCTCTAAACATCCCGTTGGTGGACTGACTTGATGACCCGATTGCCATACAAACAAGGGTCTGGAGTTGATTCTGGCGTTAACACTCCGACGATCAAGTTAGTATGTGGATTGGAAGATACTATTACTAAGAATATTTTAGATATCAGATGAAGAAGTCTTTAATCATACCTTACCTCTATTTATATTGTGATTACCTTGATGCCTAATTAATTGTGTCTTGGTGCCCAAGAATGCTTACTGCCAAAGGGGCTGCCCGAGGATCGTCATTATTCCTATGGTTGTGCTTAATCTTGCTGTGTTCACACCACTGAAGCACTTCAGGCCTCTCGCTTACCTTAGGTCGAGGTGTGTCTCATGACTCATCTAGGTTTTCAAGTCTCACCCCCAATCTGCCTTTAAGTGTTCCACCCATGTTGAACGAGCTACTCAACTTGTTCAACTTCATTTCATCGACCCCCCCTGAGTTGAGCAATAATACTGGTGGAGTGCGACCTATGAGCCTTACTGTGACCCAAACATTCCTTTCAATAGCGAGATTACCTTGGTGACCAAGTTCGGATCAAGCTGGACCTTTCTCCACCTATAACACCTAGTCCCCCCTCCTTCGAGAACCACTTCATGCTAGCTTGAGCTATAACTCACTTGAGGTAGGGTCGGCCGTAATAATGTTGGGGTCTTGTCGAATATGAAAAGACGAACAAAGGCATTAATTACAGATGGTACTTCACCACATAATTTATCCATGGCGCTAACTCTTCATGAATGTGTAGCAGCCCGCGCTCACTCACAATCACCACCTCATCTAACTCCCACTCACGCCTTGTGTTTCGATCGATCGTCTCAAGAGGAGGAACATGAAGGCTAGAGACATGCTTCAACGCATACTTGCTAAGCATCTAATTCATCTTCGACGGTATATGTCATGGTTCAGCTTCTATCGGCACAAAGGCGGGAAGCACGATACATTTTTCGGCTACAAAATGTTGGTATGGAAGACCCCCATACCAGGTTGTTTCAACGTCATTTTTTTCGAAATTCTAAAAAGACCAAATCGCCCTCGGACAACCCTGAGAAGATCAAGGCAAGGCTGCTCAAAGGGCAGCAATTTCAGCTGCAACAGCAACAAATGCATGAAAAAGGACAATGCAACATGAGAAATTTCACGTCATGGGTCAACGAGAGCAACAACTGGCTGGCAAATGACAATCAACAAACCGAGTTTCCAAATGCAAATGAGATTATCAATAATTGCGCAACTCTGGCTGAGGATATTACATGGAATGATGGATTGTGGGATTTTAGCGATTTGCTAGGGAGCATCAACGAAAATGATGATTTCCAGCAGAATTTTGGCACAACTAACTACTGAACTGTTATCACTACAACTTCAATTATAGGGTTAATCGGCCTAGGATTAATCGGTACCAAGCTTCTATAGTTTCTAGTAGTAACAAAAGAAGGTTCTCAGTTTAAAGGTTAATGATGATTGTTATTACCGATGGGAGTTTTTCTTCCCTTAGCTAATAACTTTACTGTCTTTCAAGACTTCGTAGCATGGCATTATTACTTAAGCTTAAGTGTTAGTCAACAAATTACCCAGAGATAAGAAAGTGGGGTTTTCTGTAATTAGGATATAAGTGTGTTTTCAATGAAGTAGTCAAACCAGTTATTTGACTAATATATATATATATATATATATATATATATATATATATTGTTCCTTTTTCTTACATTCTTTAACGTTTAGGCACATAATACATTAATGACAATGCATTATATTATAATTTTATACAATAGTGAACACATCTTTTGTGCTTAATGAGTCCGGCATCAAAACAATAACAGAATTTGTCCACCTTCGAAATAAATTTACCTAAGTTTGTCCAAACATTAACCTTAACCCATAAAGGGCTTATCTTAGCTAGAAAATATTTTTGATATTTTTAGATCCAACTCAATGCAGCGGGGCATGCATGATTATATTATATTTTATTCATAAGATATTGGATTGATCACATAGTACAAAATGATGGAACAGATTTTAAAATCAATAGCAAATGAGCATTCTTGAAAACACTTATGGAAAGCCTCGTACTATGATTTAGTAATTATATAAACTTGATATAAAATGGACCCCTCTCCTTATATTATTAGTCTTTACTCATGCCTACGCTGCCTACCGGGGAGTTCATTTTAATTCAGCCATTGATCATTAAATGGAAAATATCTATTCTGCCAAACAGATTTCTCATTTACCGTATTGGCAAAATCTAAATTGTTTATTTTATTAGTATTATTATAATATAATGAGAAGAGTAATGAATGTTTGACAAGAATATATTTTCCCTAATCTAATTTGTAAAAACAGTAATACGGCCTGTTGGCGATACTCTGCCATGTCTAATAGGTGTTTTAATTTCTATATGAACAGAGGGAGCAGGTGTTAATCAGTTAATCACTTGGTTTACTTTATAACCTTCAATTAATTTTAACCTTCCAACCCATCAGTTAATCACTTGGTTTACTTGATAAACTTCAATTAATTTGAACCATACATCCCATTGACCGGACATGCCTGCCACAGCTTTCACTAAACTTAGGAGATACCTATTATATCTAAAATAATAATNTAAAAAAAAAAAAAAAAGAATTCTCCACGGTCTATATAATTAACAAAAGTAGAACTGCATCGAATTAATAAAATAACAATATATTCCAAAAACCTGCTCGTATCCGTCAATGTGCTACTATGTTATTTGTTTTTATTTTTCTTTCTTTATTTTAGGAACACATTTGAGGATCAATATAGTTCAAATTGTGTTTGAAAATATTGATGATCTCTTGCAGATTACAGGAAAATCTTTTTGGGACCCAACTCAATTATTAATTTCCTCAACAATTCAATCCAAAATATCTAAAATGCACAAATATAACTATTAAATACGACTGCATCCTTGAACAATTAATTTTTCAGAAAGTGTAAGAACTTCGAATGAGTAGAGACGGTTGATATTTCCTGTTCACAAGGTGAAAAGTAGATGTAGCCCATGGAATAAATATGTTCTTATAAATGGAATGAAAAAGGAGACATAAAAATAAGAAAAAGAGCAACAATCTCGTACTTGTATGCGATATTCCAAAAACAGGGGATCAATGTGAGAAAAAGGGGGAAGAGAGAGATCGAGAAGTGATTTGGCGACAATTATTCCTTCTCTTAAACGAAACACTTGTTTTTTCTTGTTTCAATGAGTAAGTGGATATATCTTTACATTGGAAGATGTGACAAGCAGTGATCGTTGATAGAATGAAAGGCTAGGATTGATCGAAATTTACCAATTGCACCCAATTCTCAACTGCAGACGATCCATATATAATGATCTTACGGTTAGGTCTATAATGATCTTCCGCAAACTGGTGACCATAATTTTTCCTTCTTTGTCAAGCTTAGGACTAAAAGGCTATGTTGTTGTTGTTGTTGTTGTTGTTGTTGTCAAGCTTAGGCAGAGATAACTGACTCTATAGGAGAATTCAGATTCAGGAGACACTACTTTTGACCAAAAAAAGCCCTTTCCCCTGCTAACAACTAATTTTTAATATCTGAAGGGCACAACTTAAAATGCTAAACTAATCCAACCAGCTAAACATGATAGTGAAGCCAGCCCTCTTGGTAAATTTATCCAATCTCGTCCTAACATCAGTTGAGAATATATTACCTAACTATATGGTACGGCCACGAAATGTATCCAGATACAAGAGGGATCAGAGCTTACACATAGTCCCGTTATGTGAGGCAGCATCGTCATTTGTGAGAATAAGGATAAAGGCTGAAATCTTTTTCCAGGAGTTTGTGAACTTCAACAAGAGAGGATACTTTGTAATCTGGCTTATACTCCACATTTTTGTACGGTGGAGAATCGTACCTTCCAGTTTCATCAAGCAAGCATGTAAAAGCTCCTGCCCCCTTCCCACAGGCCACCTGTGCAAAGATCACAAATAAGAGGAAATGAGGAACAACTTATTGACTCAGTTTGATAATAACAAACGAAGAAAAAATAAATACGCATGTGATTACAAAACCTACCTTTAAATATATATATATATATATATATTAATATAATATTGATTCAAATGAAAATGGTTGTCAGAAAGAAATAAGTTCGCATTTTAGTGAAAGCTGCCAGTTGTATTAATCCTCTCGCAGCTGCCAGTTATATTTCTGGTTATTAATCCTCTCCTGGAAAGTTGTATTGACAAGAGAAATTAACAATTCCATGATCTATCCCTACCAAATATAAAGATTGACTAGAAAAATCTTCATCAAATAACATCAGAAAGAATAATGCAAAGCCAAGTTTGCTGACTAGTAGATCCCATAAACAATACAAGAAAGAAAAAAAAAAAGTCATATAGAATACAGCTAGAGATACAAGAAACAATAAAAATTCAAAGCCCAGTACATGTTACTAGTAGATCTCATGGCAAGAAGAAAACAAAAGCCATAAAGAATACAGCCAACATACAAGTTGCTGTGTAAGCTACAGAAACAAGAAGATAATGTTAAACTAAGCTTGATTATATACTGAAATATTACCTAAAGTTCATTGAATCAAGAAATTCACAGTTCAGAAGCACCTGCAGCAAAATCTAAATGAACTGAGACAATAATTAAAAGTCTTCAGGGCCAAATAATAACACCCATCAAGCTTTTGAAATGTTGTGATAGATATTGGGAAAGTGAATAATGGGAAGGAAAGCAAGAATGGAATAAAAAAAGTAGCGCAATATTGGAAGCACAAATCGTGGGATTGGCTGGAATAAAGGAATCATACTCGGCGTGGAAGACTATCAAATAAATAACGCAATACTGCTTCTTTACTAATGGAAGCAGCATGGTCGGCGGACTTCTGCCAAACCGCAATGCTAAATTACCATGTGTATAACACAGATGATAGGACTTGGGGGAAGAAAAGAAAAGAGATTAAATTTTTTGTTCTCATTTAATTCCAGATTTCATCCAATAAAAGAATTGTGAAGTAAAACTGGTAATTTAAGATTATCTGAAAGACTAAAGATAAAAGGTAATTGGTTGACTGCTATGATATTGAAACTTAATCATTTAGCATATTTCATACCACTCCTCTTCTTCATTCAGGGGAACTCAATATATTGGAAACACCATTTGAACCCCTTATAAGCAAAAAACTCAATATGAATTGCTAAGTTTTCCAAATCATTCGAAGGACGAGATTTACTAGAACAAAGAGACCAAGGTTCATTAATAATACTTCCTTTGTCATAAACGTTCTCCATAAAAAAGGTGAACATTTCATAGAAACTCCTCCTAGACCTTACATTTGAGGGTAAAGCAGGTACACACATGCATAATTCCAACTGTTCAACTCTCATAAAAAAACTCCCAAATATGAAAACGGACTTCCAAACTGAGAGTTTGAGACAGATGGAATGCCAATGATCTCCATTTTGTAACAGTTAGGAAAACCTCCAACTAACATATATCCTTCACGTGAAGATTCTTCTACAATGAGATTCACCTAATACGACTATCAACCACAATCGTCAAAGCACAAATTTCCACATACATTATGATATAATAAGATAATCCGATTAGTGCTCAAGAGTCGGATGGCGGAGCTAGGATTTTAAAATACCTGGGGCTAATGAAATTGCGTTCTCCGATTCTTTTTCTATTCAAACTCGGCGATTATATAATCATTACTAATCTTTTCGACTAACTCTCTTTCAATGTAAATAATCATGGAATCCGCCAAAAACTCTTCTTCCATCTTATTCCGAACTGTCTTGACAAGTTTCATAGCCGAAAACGGTCGCTCTGTAATTACAGTAGACACCGTCAGAGTCAAAACAAGATGAATTAACCTGACAAATAAATTAAATAAATTATAACGGATAAATATACTAGAATTTAATTAACAAAAATGATTTACAACAATTTCAGTTGTACTTGTCAATTAAGTTGTAGATTTTTGACTCATTTGTCTCAATCAATCTTCGACATAATTCAGAAATAGTCTATTAGTCTTGAAATATCTCATTAGTAATGACATCAAGCTCATAATGACTCAATTGCAATCCACTTTAGTCTATAAGTCTTGAAATATCTCATTAGTAATGACATCAAGTTCATAATGACTGAATTGCAATCTCAAGTGGAGCAAGTCTTGAGCATCAAAATCAAAAGGATAGAAGCGTTCGGCAAGTTAACAAAATAATAATAAATTAATCAAGCATTTGGGTGATATAAGCAAACTAAAAAATTAATACAATAAAAAAGGTAATCAAGAATGCATTGTGGGTTTTTGTACACAATCATATTATGAAGGCCAAGCATCCACACCTTTAGAAGATCGAGTACAATGATCAACAAGCATTAACAAGTATAATTATGCTAAAAACATGTTCTCTAATATCACCTTTAACACAAATTTTCAAATTGAAACTTTATCAACATCAAAAGTAAGCAAAATCAAATTCTACCATTTTACCACTTCATCAAAATTCAAAATCAAATCACTGCCCAATAACACCAAAAGGGTTTGTAGAACACTGTTGAGGCCAACACTGGTAAGAAATCACCTCAATCACCGCAATGCCCAATAATCCTCTAGTTTAGCTTCAATAGTGCTTAAGGAAATAATGGTAACCAACTAAGTCCAATTCACACCTTAAAATAATTTTCACTATTTTTACCATTCCTTAAAATGGTAGAAATGGGCATTTAGGTTAACGGACACTAGTAACACCAAAAGATAATCAACATGTTCTCAATTAATCAAAAGAATTATTAAATACTGTTAATAACTTAGGCTAGGCGGACAAAAAATAAAGATTTCAAGACATCATAAACCAATCTAATTCTCGACTCTGTCCAATAGGTCACAAGTGGATGTTCAATTTTTTACCAGTGAGGTAAGCGGCCGTGGACCGGGTTCGGCGGTGCGCCGGTGGAGCCGTGGAGTACTGGCGGCGTCGCGGCGAGCAGTGAAGGCGGGGGCTGAGGTCGGGGCCGTGGTGGTGGGATTGAAGACGAGAAAGACTGAAGCCGAGGCCTTGGCGGTGGGATTGGCGGCGAGGAGGAGTGAAGCCGGCGGGACAATGAAGCTGTGCTCGGTTCGCTTGATTGGGATTGGCAGCGAGGTGGGATTTTTTTTTTAATGGATTGAGAATTGGGATGGATGAGTCATGAGTGGGCAAAAAAAATGAAAGGTATTTGATTTTAATATTCTGGACTTTAATGTTGGACTAACTCAAAATATTTTTGGACTAATGTTAGTTGGACAAATTCAATAAACGGGCTACCATAAAAATACATGGAGCTATCAACCAAAAATAATTTAAATGTAAATTTTCTTTTTTTATTTACTTGGAGCTGGAGCCCACCCTATTCCATGGGTGGTTCCTCTCTCGGATCATGTCAAGAATTATGTAGTTGCGCACCGATTAACCGCAAGTTCAGTTGATTTACACTATTCTTGCTATCAAGATATAGATTATTGAGGGAAAAAGAAACAAACATAAAAACAGAGTCTTTTTTTTCTTGAATTTAACACCATAATATGACTATCGAGTTGAAGCTGAGAGCACGTATCGTTTAGTAAGTGTTCACGTGAGGCAACGCTAAAGAAAAATGGAGAAAGAAAACCTAACCTAGCATGATATGAAGATGATCTAAACCCTGTTTCTCAAAATCCGCGATAATTTCATAAGCTCGTTTCTGTTTGTTGGGGATCCACGTCTCAATGTGGTGAAGGATATCGATTCCCGATGGATCTTCCGACTTGATTCTCACGTACTCTTTCTCACTGAGCATTGTTCTGTACATCGCTGGGAAATTGATAACGGGGACCGTAAGAGTCCCATCAATGTCTAACACCACTCCGTTTAGACCTTCTCCACCCAAAAATTGCAGTAGCATGCCTCCAACCGATCGGCAAAACCCATAGCCCTTTTTTCTCTTCTCCTTGGATACAAATTTGCGTCCGGATCCAAGCTTTTTTTTTTTTGTTTTTGCAATTTAACCCTTTATCTTTTATAAATTTATAAAATGGATTCTATTTAGTTTTTTAATTATAAAATAAAATTTAAAATAATGAGTATCATATTACTTTATACTACCTCTCATTCTTTTTAAATGTAATTTTGGCTTTGTCAACTATTAACTAAAATAAATGTCGTTTTGGATTTTTTGTATATATTTTTCCATTATTATCCTCATTTAGTTAATAAATACACTACGTCTTTTTATATTCTCTTCATCTTTTTCTTAAAACATTCATCTCTATCTGTATTAATGAGGGTTATTATTGGTAAAAAAAAATATTCTTAATTAGTGTGCAATTTTCCAAAATCGACACTTATTATGAATAGGAGGGAGTATTTGTTTACAAACATAGTGTAAATGTACATATTAATTTTATATTTTTCACAATAATAGTGTAAAATACAAAAAAAGTGGCCGAAAAGAACAAAGAAAAAACAAAACTTGGAAGAAGAAAACACAAAAGAAGAAGATGACTGATTGAAAAAAAAAATGAAGCGGAGATAGGTGTACAGGAAAAACGGGTGCCACCCGCGAGGGTGGCATCGACTTAGCCGGGATTGACCCATAAAAAAATGTCGAAAACCTAATTGCGCACTGACAGCTGATAGGAAGAGGAGAGAGCTAGAGAGAGTGAATCCGGCGACAAAATAATGAAGACAGTCGCTATGGACTACTACGGGGAGGCAGAGGAGCAAAGCGACGGCGTCACAGTGGCCATGGAGGTGGACGACGCCGACTCCTCCTTGGATCTGTTCGGAGAGGGCCCCGTCTTGGACCTCCACCGCCTTGCCGATGCCGATTTCTTCAATTCCTTCCAGGATGATTTCGATGATGAAGACATCAACTGATGCGTAATTTGATTTTCTATCCCTAGCTCAATTAATCGTTTCTCGGAAAATATGTTGCAATCACTGGAAAAAATATGATGATGGGTTGGTGTTGATTTTTCGATATATATGAATGCTTTCTGTGATTAACTTGTTCTTCAGCACGTTCTTTCTTCTCTAATCTGATTCTTGTAGTTGATAAGCTGTGAATTTTGTTGGTGATTTCAAATTTTGAATTGATTGATTGCTTCCAATGCGGTAGAGTTTTTTGGGATTGGTTTTTGTGGTATAAATTGGGAATCAGATAGAACCCTAATTGAGCAGTTCATTTGCATTCAAACTTCCAAATGATCCTATTAATATTGCTGGTGTTTTTCTAAATTGTTGAAAAAACAAAATAAAAGGTGGGATTTTGTTGATTATGAGAAATGTATCACACCCCACATTCCTTTTCTGATTTTTGACACACCTAATCAATAGTAGTGGGATGGCTGATTTTGTTGTACAAATATAAAAGTATGAAATAACTTGGAGAAGAATGTTGTTAGATACCAATGGTTTGAGTGTGTGTAACTGTGTACAGTGGATGCTCATTCATAGAAGAGATGTTCTGAAAAATGGAATGGTTCTCAAATAACACCAGAACTTTTGTTTGTGTGAAGTTTGATAGAGCAGACGTTCTTGCGCTTGCTCTAAATCTTGTTATGTTTGTAGTTTGTTATATCTTAAGTCTTTTTTCTAGGTACTCTATCACTGTTGTTCTAGTGTATATATTTAGATGTGCCCAACCAGTTGTTGTAGGTTGGGTCAATAGGTCCGAATCCCACCATTTCAGTTAGGCCCATTTCGTCCCAGAAAATTGAGAGATGTGAATCAATCTCATGATTTGGCCGTCGGAAATCAGTAAAACTGTCCAATAATTGGAATTGTGTAAATCCAATGCGCCTGCTAACTTGTTCTGTGTAAAACCATGAACCATTGAACCGGAATCGTGTAAAACCAAGGGTAGAAACGGTTTTTTTAGGGTAAAATTAAAATCTTAACGATAATGGTTTAAAACCAATGATTGAAACGGTTTTATAGGGTAAAATTTAAATAATTAAAAAAATGGAAAAGTCGATCTAAAACTGAGTTTTTTACTGTGAAAATTAAAATCTTCAAAAAAATGGAAAAGTCTATCTGAGTATGTATTTATTTATCAATTAGTTTAAATATTTGAATGTTCTAAATTGTTTAACTATTTCATTAATCATGTTTTCTATATTAAAATTATTCCATGAAGTATATAATAAAAAATATTAATAAATCATATACCGATTCAACAACTGGCCCGATCGTAACTTGACTGGTTTGATGGCCGTTTTTTGGTTTTGAGAACTTGTCATTTCAGATGAAATTGAATTTGTTATCTAGTCTGTGGCTAGAATTCATTTCTAGTGTAGTAGTAGGAGGGTATTTGCTGTAAGCGCGTGGTTTTGTAAAATCTTTGATGATATTTCATCACTTGAAAGGTTTAGTATGATTTCTCCAGGAGTTTATTTTTCTCTGTTGTTAGGGGTGCGTTTGTTTTGGTGTAGGCTCTAGACGATCCTCTAGATTTGTCCTCCCACTAGAAAATGTATCTATGTGTTTTTATGATATAAAATTTCTATCGTTTAANAAAAAAAAAAAAAAAATGACTAAGTAGACCACTATATATCACAATGTATATCGCAATTTGGTTTTTTGGTAGGATTGAGCAAAATGGTAAGAAAAAAACATTTTGTTCTTCTCTACTTCAATTTCATAAATAATAAAGATTGGTGAATGTTGGGTACTGGACTTTGTTCAGTTTTTATCAAGGTTCTGAAAATTGTACCAGCTATCGAATTGGTGAAGCTATCGGTTCAATGTTCATCGGTCGAACCAATTTAATTAATATATAGTTACTTATTTATTTTATGTATAATATATAATTGTATATATTTTTATCATTAAGTTTATAGCGTATAATGACATTTCTCTAAATAATTTTTTTTCTTTTTAACGGAACGATAGAGATATTATATAAGACGCACAAATGTGCAAAGAACAACCACCAGCTGATTACAAACAGCCAACAGCTGAATACAAACAACCAATAGCTGAAAAAGTGGGAGAACAGGTCAAAAAACCGCCTAGAACCGACCTCAATGGGGTAATACTCTAGAACACTAAAAAACACAAAAAAAACAACAACACAAAGACCCCCACAGGGTAATACCCGAGTGTCGGACCTCCACACAGTAATAAAGTGACACTCGGGCTCACAGAGGCCAACGGCCCAAACCTAAAACACAACGACAAATACAAATACAGAGACGAACACACTAAACACAACCACAGACTCAAAACAAACAAAAGCGAACAAGCAATAAAAACTAAAAATCTATAGAATGATGAGATGACCCTTCCCCAGCAAACATAACGAGTACAAGCCAGCATAGAGCAATCAACCCGAGAAGAGGCCAAGCCTAGTGAACTGCTACCGAAACTGCGAGACCACCTATACAGAAGCCGAACCCGAGCTTGAAACCCGTCCCAAATCAACCTGCCCCAACCGAGAGAACAACGAGCTGGCTCTCCACTCCATCGCCACCCAAACTCATCTAACACCACTAGTCAAGCTCGGTAGCTCCGGAGTCCCCCGCAGTCCCCAACACTAGAGAACCGGGGTGAGATCCGCTCAGTTCCACAACCCCAGTTTCCCCGACAATGAGTCGCTGCCGCTAGAGTCCCGCCCCGCCTCTGAACCATACACAACCCAACTCATCGCAGACCGCCGACAATTCGATCTCAATCCCCAGCAGGAACCCCCTCTGAATCGACGAAGTCAACCCCAATTTCAGACCGGAAGAAGATCGGTAATTGAGCAGCAAGACACCTCAATCGAGAAGAAAGACAACTCAATCGAGGCCCCGCCAGCAACCGAGAAAACCGCCAGTCTTCAACCATGAGGCGCAGCACCGAAATGTTAAATGCGTCGGCCACCGGGTCAAACCTCCAATCCCGATTATCTGCAGAGAGAAGGAGCGCGCGGACAGGGACGGGCCGAGCGGTCAAGGGCGACCACTGGCCCGAACCTCGCCAGTGCCAAGGAAGGCAGAACGATGGAGAGTGATGAAGACGCCGGGCGGATTTTGGGCTTAGGCTTTTTTCACGAGAGCTTTTTCTTATCAATTTAAGAGTTCAAATAATCAATATCTTATTTACAATTTACGATAAGCAATACTAATTTGAGTTCACTACAAAGTCATCAAAAATCAAAATACACCATCCAACATTACAACGAAGGAAAAAAGAAATAGCTTCAAGTAGTTCAAGTCCAAAATCATTACAAAACTACACAACTCACCGACTAGAACGAATCCTCATAATTTCTACTAACTCCTCCAAATCCAACATCGACATAACCAAGATGATCACCTACCCCATTTCTATCATCTCCACCATCACCGGAGTTCAAATTGGATACATCTGGCATATTTATGTCCATATCAACTTAAGTGCGNGCAAAAGAAAAAAAAAAAAAAGAGAGAGAGCATAGATTAACATGAACTCAAAATAAATATACCAAATCATGATATATTCTTTTCATAAGCAAACTACTTACCAACAATCGGAGTCAGCGACGTGTTCACGAACAGAAAGATTTTCTCCCCATCAGATTTTGTTCATCTTCTTCAACGCCACGTCACTATAGTGACATCTTTTACATTGAAACTAGACATGGCCAAAGGATCGCCCGGCCCGCCCCTGACCCGGCACAGACCCGGCCCGGTCAAACCCGTTGACCACAGGTCTGGGACCGGCCCGGATTTCAAACGGGCCATGTAAGGGTCATCCATTTCATGACTCGGCCCAGAGGGTCAGGGCCGGGCCGGGTCAATGACCCTTCTTTTTAATTTTTTTTTATTTTTTTATACTTTTTTCTTA